GTATGTAACGGGAAGGGAGGAAACCAGCTCGTAGGGTGACGGTGCATGTGCGAGAGAACAAATGCCTGGGCGACATCCGGGTGCTCCAGGCCCAGAACGTACCCTCGCATGCCTTAGACTAGTTCCGTCTCAGCATACTCACCATGACATGCGCTAAACAGCGCGGAAGAGAGTCGAGTTGCAGTCCAAATTACATCAATATTTGCGGAGGAATATGCATGTGTTCTTCTAGAAGCGTCCAAATCATTATTGGCCTCTCACCTGCCGCTCCAACAACCCCGCCCGGTAGTTGATCGCTACAACATTCAAAGGCCGTCACACGAAGTTTCCTGAACATTCTAAAGATTCTCACCTGCCTTCTCAACAACCGGCCCGGTTGTTGAGGACTACAGCACTCATCGATACCACAAGCACCTTCGGAAAAAAATCCCATGGCTGTCACCTGCTTCGTCAACAACCCCGCCCTGTTGTTGAGTCTCCTGGCAAGAGTTGGGTGGTCAGGGCCAAGCGTCTTCTCCCTGATCTCAATAGCTCGCAGATAGAGAGGGCCGGCTTCGTCGTACTTGCCCTGTGTAGGAAGCAGTGGGGAGGGGAAAGCAACTGGGCGCGAGAGAACCAATCTCTCAAAACAAGTGTGAACCCTACGAAAAATCTTGGAAAAATCTCACGGCACTCACCTGGCTCTTCAACAACCCCGCCCGGTTGTTGAGCCCTGTGGCCATCTTCGGGTGCTCAGGACCTAACGCTGTCTCCCAAATCTCGGTCGCCTGCCTGTACAGAGGCTCGGCCTCGGCGAACTTACCCTGAGACGTGAAGGGCAAGCATGTCAGAAGTGTGGTCAATGCTAGCGGGGATTGACAACGGACTAACAACTGCTCAACACCCCCGCCCGGTTGTGTAGGTAGGTTGCAAGGCTTGGGTGGTCAGGGCCCAGCGTTTTCTCGTCGATCTCAATAGCTCGAACGTACAGAGGGTCCGCCTCAATATACTTCCCTCGAAAGAGAGGACAAACAACGAAAGAGATGAAAACCAAGGCCTGTTACAGCATATTGCCGAGGAACAACGTTCAACAACCCCGCCGCGGTTTTTGAGCGACTGGGCCGCATCGGGGTTGCTCCGGGCCCAACGCCTTCAGTTGGATTAATTGTGATCGTTCACAAAGTGTCTCGGCCTCGTTGTATTTACCCTTTGCAATACAACGTTGATTCGAGCAGCCATCTTTCTACCAAAAAACGCATAATTTCACACAGTAAATTGAATCCTACCCTATATCCAGGAAAATCCTTTGGCTCTTACCTGTGCCTCCAACAACACCCCACTGTTGTTGAGTCAGTTGGCGAGGCCTGGGTGGTCAGGGCCCAGCGTTTTATCGTCTATCTCAATAGCTCGAAGGTACAGAGGGTCCACCTTAGCATACTTGCTCTGGCAAAGGAGGAACAAGGAACGAAAGGGGTGTGAACCAAGACTTGGTACAGCATACCGAGGAACAACGCCCAACATTGCCACCACGGTTGTTGAGCGACTGGGCCACATCGGGGCCCCTCCGGACCCAGCGACTTCTGTCGGATTGATTTGCGACACGTTGATAGAGTGGTTCGGCCCGGTCGTACTTGCAACACAAAGCGGGTTCGGTCAGACAGCCATGTACCAGAAAACGAAAAGTTTCGCACAGCGATTTGAACCCTACGAAAATTCAAGAACAAATCCTTTGCCTCTCACCTGGTCCTGCAACAACAACGCCAGGTTGTTGAGTGCTGCGGCCACCTTGGGGTGATCAGGGCCAAGAGACTTCTCGCAGATAGCGAGGGACCGTTGACATAGCGGCTCAGCTTCCTCATGCTTGCCCTGGAGCTCGACGCCAAACCGAACAACGAATGTGGTCAACACTTGTAAATGCTGAGGACAAAACATTTAACAGCATCCGGTTGGGCACTGAAGCATCGTCGCGGCGTTCTTCGCCCACGGCTGAACCAAGAATTTCAAGTGTCCAAGTGCGGTTAGTGTTGCTTCTTCATGCTGGCCCTGGAATGCGAGCGAAAGGTGAGTGGACAACACAACATGGTAGCCTGGCGTGCCCGGCTGTTTGCTGACAATCCAACGAATTCGCACAAGTAGTCAGCGGCCTTCGAAACAGATGCTCAGCCTCGAGATTTATTCCCCCGACAACTCCACAGCGCGTCAAATCGAGCACATAACATGCTGCCTTAAGTCTGACGAGAATAGCCTGAAACGTCACGTATCCCTTCTCGCTGTGCAAACGTATTGGTCAGATGGCAGCGTTCCATACTTCGCATAAATGCGTATCATCGCAATCGCTCTGCGGTTGTTTCTACTTCTGAAAAATGAACCCTCGCCATCACCTGAGCACCTTGTTGTCGTCAGCAGCGTTTGTAAAGGTCGAGGGCTTGAGGCAGCACGCTCTGAACCCTATTCAAGCTGAATGGGATTACTGTACCACACCCTTTCAATACAATAGCTGACAACAGAAATCCAAGCATTGGTGGTTGGGTCATGCGCTATCGTGCGTCGAATCACAGGATAACCCTCGTGTCACGACCAGAGTCCAGGATGCACCGACGGGCACATCAGGATTGCATTCGAAAAACAAAACGAAAACAGCCGTAGTCTTCATCAGATGCTACATCAACTGCAGAGCATCGTCCAACATGGAACCGTGATGGTGATTCGCATCAGAACGTTCACTACGGCGCCTCACCATGAGGTGCAAAACACGGCCCGCCTGTCGCCACGTTGCATACTACGGTGCCCCTTGGAGGTTCTTCGTGTACACAGCTGCGATTTGGCTCTCCCCCACGAGATCCTCCACCGACCTCCAAACGGCCATCAAGGAATACACACCGTCGCTCTTCTCCCCGTTCTCGACGTATCTTCGCAGAACCTTCAGCTGCCCCAGATACTCCGCGACACGGGACGTTGCAATAGGGCGGCTGCGATCGGCTTTGAGCTTGGGCTTGAGGAACAGCAAGACTACATCGTGAACGCGAACAGCATCCCCTGCAGGCTGGCATGGACTGATCCACGAGCTGTACAGCGAGCGTCTTTGCAGCCCCAGGAGCCTGGGGGAGGCCGCGTAGAAGAGGAAGGGAAGACCAGCATCAGGGAATGACGGCTTCCAGTAAATACAAAACAATAATGGTGAAGATGAGCCATTATAAAGACCGTCTTCCACTCCCACAACCACGAGTGCGTGTTTGCGAACTTGATTCAAGGGAGGAGGCTTCAGAAAAAAGTACTGACATCTACGAAAATATCAAGGGAATACGACACAACAGGGTATATACCCTGGTCGAAAAGCGACACACCTGGTTACACAGTCATTAACAGCAGTAAATGCACTCGTATCATTGGTCAGCGCCCAATTTCACCCCGGTGCGTCCGAAAAGGCGCAAGGTATACCCTGCCGTGACTACTTTTCTCAATAACTATACCCTGTTTTCGGAAAGGGAAATGGACAAAAGTGGGTATACCCACCCCTTTCTCGGACAAAAGTGGGTACTCGAAAATCCAGCTCGCGCGCAGTCCATGTGCGACCCCCACACGACTCAAAACCCCATTCTGGCACCAGGGCGACATAGCCAGGGACCATACACAGCACGGGCATCGATTTTTTTCCACTTCCAGGCACACCTTTGGCCCTAATACCGCCGCGGCGCGCAAGGCCTCAACAGAGTGCCCACTTCTGTCCGACATCGTGGTGGGTATACCCAGCGGCTTCTACTAATTTTTTCATGTACCCACTTGTGTCTATTTTTTGACCCACTTTTGTCCAAATTGTACCCACTTTTGTCCACTTACGGACAGCGGAAACCGAGCGGAAATCGACCTCCACGTCACCGCACGGCAGAACATCGANTTGCGAAACAGCACCAACCGTCAACTCTTCCGCTCTAAGTGAATAATGGCCGAACAACACGTATTCCAGCACAATTGTTCCGTTTGGAAACATGCACAAGCGCGTACGATACCCCGTGGAGCGACTGCTTGCTGCAGTCTAGACTATATGCGAGACGCACGGATCCCGCTGTGAAAGCGAGACCGATCCAGCATGGTTGACATGAATCTGCATGCGTGCGTGCGTGTGTTGTCTGCTGTGTGTCTCAATTGCCATGTGCTGTGTGTGCGTACGTGCGTTGTCTGTTGTGTCTCAATCGCGATGTGTTTCTTGCCTGAACTACTGCTGTAGCGGCAGCGGTCACGCTTACCAGCCGACCAAGCCGACCAGTCAATTTAGTAGGAAAACGTCAGGCTTCAGCGGGATGAGCCGATGAAATACAACGCGAGCACTCTTTTTCTTCTCTCTATCGACAGGGAGGGTGATCGAGTTGCACGACACAGCAGTGTCCTGTTGCTAGAGTAAGGATAAGACTTTGGTGTGTGCTTGATTGATGACAAGGGCGAGAGTCTGTGTGTGCTTGTCCTGCCTCTCCCCTCCACCCTCGTTGCGGGCGCGAGCTCGCCGCCAGCACAGCGCCACACACTGGCACGTGCTATGCATGTCAACCATGCTGGATTGGTCTCGCTTTCACAGCGTGATCCGTGCGTCTCGCATATAGTCAGTCGCTCCACGGGGTATCGGACGCGCTTGTGCATGTTTCCAAACGGAACAATTGTGCTGGAATACGTGTTGTTCGGCCATTATTGACTTAGAGCGGAAGAGTTGACGGTTGGTGTTGTTCGCAGGGGCGGAAACTGATTCCTGCCCCGTTGCCATGGTTGTGATTGGGCGGGAAGAGTCGCCGTTTGGTATCCCATGGTTGGAGTTGGGAAGATTCCTGCGGGGGAAATGAATGATGGAAGGGTCCAATTTCCCGACAGATCAGGCTACATTTCCGAAAACAGGGTATAGTTATTGAGAAAAGTAGTCACGGCAGGGTATACCCTGCGCCTTTTCGGACGCACCGGGGTGAAATTGGGCGCTGACCAATGATACGAATGCATTTACTGCTGTTAATGACTGTGTACCCAGGTGTGTCGCTTTTCGACCAGGGTATACCCTGTCGTGTCGTATTCCCAAATATCAAAAACAAGCGCAGGGAAAATACAGAGGGCAATACTTCATAGCAACACACTACCTGCACACGCTCCCTGTACGTTGAACCAAGACAGGCCGTGCCCGCTTGTGCACCAATGCGACAACAAAACCAAACGGTCAGTAACAGATGGCTCCCGCACGGGGTTCACTACTCCCGTTGCTCCGCCAATATCTCCCACCGCACCTCGTCCCACAAATCTTCCAGCATGTCAGACGGTGCCAACGTCCCCGGGGCGAGTACCGCAAGGAACAGGCATCTTTTCCGCATGGCTGGGTCGTCTGCCATGGCGCCCAAGCTCACTTCCAAGACAGCATCTACTCTTTCCGATACGGACATTATGCAGTCGTTCCCCAGCCTTGTTGTCATCGCTTTGTTCAAAGCCCCGTGCAAAGTTCGCCAGGACTTGGGATCTTGTGGGGGACCCTTGAGCAGCGGTGCGGCGAGGCCAAGCGAGAGTGGTAGCTTCCCACAGTCACTCACGACCTGTGGGGAAGGGGCGGACGCGTTCGTAGCTGAACCAACAAGGCCGAGGACGACCGCACTACCTACAGATCGCCGTCTAACAACCCAAGCACTAGGGACTCGAATACCAATCATGCCAGAACTACTGTTCTGCTACTGTTACGAAGAATGTGGCACAGGTGGGATACCAGCTGGTGCAACGCAAATCTCTTCGCAATGAGAATCTGAATTTGATTGTCGAGACGGTCACCTGCAACGCCTCAGCACGCGGCAACTCGAGATTCTCGGATGCCCCGCAGCCGACTCTCAGTACCTCCAGGGCCTCGTCCTCCTGCATATCCCTCACCTCCACGCACTCTCCCGGCATCGACACCACCGAACGGTCGCGCGTGGTTACGAGCAGCTGCAGACCCGTCAGCTTCAGGGTGCCAACGATCTCCCGCTCCCACACGTCGTCGAGCACTAACAAGCGCGGTGACACGGAGTCGGCTCATACCGCTCTCAGGTAAAGCGTCACTTTTCCCACGCTGCCAAGCCCGGGGGCAGTAGTCCCTGACGTTGACGCCACTCGCAACGCAAGCCCTTCCAACCAATCGTGGGGTTGATTCTTCGCGTCACGACCCACCCTCCACCAAAATATGCCCGCATGAAAGCGCTCGCGGACCTTCTCATCTCGGACAACTGCGGACGCCAGGACCGACTTTCCCGCTCCGGCTATGCCGGTCAGCACACAGGGCACGTCGCCCACAGCCGTGCTCGTGAGGTAATCGACGGCGCTCCCGAGCAACGAAGGCCGTGAAATGTGGCCATCGGTCAGGGCGATCGCGCTTCGAGGTACCGAGGCCATAGCCGGCAACGTTGGAGGGAGCAACTGGCGATGCACGGCCAACAAGAGCTGGTGATGCTCCAGCCCGAGGCGATGTCGTTGCTGATGGTGCGCAGACCCTCCTCGAAGTCGGTGAGAGTGGGCCGGTCGCTGCGGTGGATCAAAACCGCCCTGCACATGCCGCCCTTGGTCCACTTCGCCGCAAAGGCCGCCAGATTGTTGGTCGTGATGACAAAGTCTTTCATGGGCTTCTGCACGTGGGCGAGCGGACCAACCGCTCGGTCATGCTGAATTAAGACGGTGGTGAGGGAAAGCGCACCGGGATATCAACCTCTTTTCAGCTTGTCGTGGGATTCCGCTGCACCTTCTGCAGCCTCGATCAACCCCTTGAATGCCTGGCATACAGGCACTAAGGGCCCTGCGCTCGCAATGTCAAGCACCCCAACCGTAGCTCTCGCCATCCATGCCAGAGCCTCATGTACGGGGCTGGGGCAAGCCTCCCACTCTTCCGTTGCTCGAGCTGCGAGGTGCAGAAAGGCGGGCCAGGGCTTCTATTCGGCGAGAAGTTTGCCAACATGGTCAACCCGCTGCGAAGGGGAGAGGGAGGGAGGGAGGGAGGGAGGGAGGGCAGGGAGGGCGGGAGGGTGGAAACTCAAGCATGAACCAGGTTTCTGAGAGCGAGGACGATTATGGAATCTTGAAACGTGTGTCTTTCGTGAGAACATAGCACGCACCTCTGCCGCAGTGGGCTCCACCGCTGCCACAAGGCCCGCTTGGCCTCCACTGGCGGGAGCACGTTGCATCCCAGCCGCCGTTTACTATCGCAGATACCGGCCTTTGCTGAGCATGAACGAAACACCACACGCGAATAATCTGGGAGGGTGACGAAAATGTATATTCCGTTGGTAAGCATACATGTGAAGGGATATGTCGTCAAGCTAACATATGTATGTTGCCAAGAGAAAACTTGTATTTCTCCACGACATGGCTCATAAGCCTGCTACTCGAACCTGCTGCTGCGCCATGAACATGTAAGCGCACGCCACACGTGCTGCACACATGAACTTGTGGGGCCTGCCGAGATCAGCACCTGCGGTTGTGTCGGGCAACACCAGATGTGTCGCAGAGTATCTACTGAACGATGCCACGAAGAAGTGCCAACTCAGGACTACAACAGCACAGCAGTACTTGTAAAGGCTTTGCAGGCAAGATCGCAGGCGAAAAATCACACAACTTGATTGAAAAGGACCACGGCGGTTGAAGGTTATGCCGCCCAAGCGCAACTTCGGCGGAAAAAATCAACAAGATGGCATCCAATAAAACAAAAAACAGCTCGTAAGGCCACGCGTTGCACTTCCCTGAGGTGGCACAACGCGAGCTGTCGCGCGAAGTGTCACGTACTAAATGGCAGCTGCGCGACCACAACGAAAGCTACAGCAATAGGCAGTGCTCGAAGATTGAACCAATGCTTCCAAGTTGCGGAAGAACTGCTGTCGAAGGCATCCCGCGCTAGACTTTTTCACATCTCACCTGATGGTACACTCGATTTGTAGGCACGGTGAACGTGCGGTGAACCCAAAACCTGCCGCCCTTAAGCACAACGCGCACACTGCTGTTAACGTTGTGCCATCGTGAGCTGATTGGTCAATTGACCTCGTGCCTGGCATGTTGTGCCAGTGGTGCTACATGGTACATACCCCATGTACACCTACGAGTACCATCCGGCGAGCCCCCAGTAGAGAGGGCATTCGGGCAGAATAAACTTAACACCACGGAGCAACGAGACTTGATAGGAACACGTCCTGGCATACCTGTACATACCGGAGGGAGGGCTCTTTGGAAGGGCATTCGTTTCACGGTTGGTGACGCGAAGCTGTTTGCTGCCAAGCTGCCCTGGATAGAGGGAAGAATCCGAAGGTAGAAGCACAGTATTCGGGTGCGGAAGGAAGCACGCGCGGCTCAGGACGAGTACTGCTGCCGCTGCTGTTGCTGCGTGAGAGAGCTGGCAAGATGGTGAGACCGACTATGGAAGAAAGAATGTTGTGCACGAAGGGCCGTGCTTGCTGCTCTGCGCTGTTCTGGTTTGGGTGGCAGCGCTAGGAGGTGTTTCATCCGACCGCCTTGTGAGGCGCAGGCCAGTAGTGCCGCACATTGCGCGTCTACCCAGTGTTCAAGAGAGGCTTCCGTATTGCCAAACCTCGTTGCCTCTCGAAGGGTTGGGGGCAAGCTACTGTTGTGGCCTTAGCTTGTCGGGTTTGTGGCCCATGGATACAAATATGTGCGATTGTGCTTCGACGTGCAAAAACAGGTGTGTGGGGGTTGTTGCAATCGTGTACACAGCAGTGTTCCAACCCGTACCACTGCTTCTGTGCCCTCCCTCCCTCTCAACTGGTACGGGTCACGTCCTTTGCTATTTCCCATGACTCCGCTACCGCCACCACAACTAACTGCCCTCGCGCAGCTCGGTCTGTTTTATTCCCATCGACGTGGCGTTGTGTCTCTCTACCGTACTGTCAGTGCGGCAGCTGGCAGCAGAGGTTGTGCTTTGCAGAAGCAATGCCACGCACCCATCTGTATTCAATGAAAACGAGCCTGCGCACCAATGAAATCTACAGCAGTCGAGTGATGCGGTCCGCTCTTTTCAGATGTTGTGCTGCCTTGAAAGCTTGAGTTTTCCACATCCGCGACATAGCCGACAAGAGATCGGATTCAATTAATCTGTCACACGTCGTACACGGGCAATCGTTTTAAGTTATCAGGGATGCACATGCGTTGGAACGCGGTACGCGGAACCTCCCGCACCTCGGATGTCGTAAACCTCCCGTCCGGCACCGCCCTGTGAAACCGTCGTGTACGACTAAAACACGCCTCCACCCCTTTGAAAACCAGCGAAGTTTATCAAATTTCCCAGCGGATGCCCAGGGACTCTCGGCACGTTCTTGATGCTGTTGCAAGCAATGCCAAAATGATGGAACTATGCGCGACAGACCCCGTAGGTGCACCTACTCGCTTCCCCCCCCGGATTAATACGCCTCCGAAGGTGGTTCTTTCGGCATCGATTACGACACGGAACGGGAAGGCTCTCCTGGCGAGGCAGTTCGTCGACATGAGCCGCATCCGTATCGAGGGTCTTTTGGCCGCTTTCCCGAAGCTCATGGGCACTGGTGAGAACGAGCGCCCCGCTCTATGGATCTAGCACTGTTGATCTCGTCCGCAATACAGAGTCCATGCTACTCCGCTTGCATATCCGATGGGCTGCAACTGCAGGTGCCGGAACCTCAATGTCATCGTCAGGCGTTTCCGGTGCTGGGGTTTCATAGAGTGCCGGTTCAACGCACGTTGGGCGGTTTTGCTTGTGGATGCCGCACGTTCCACGAAGTTGAAAGTTGCAAGAGTCACCGCTACGACTGTCCAGGAGGGCCGGTCGAATCGATGTACACTTTAGTCAGTGCTGGGTTATGATTGAACAAGCATAGGTAGTCCGGCGCTTTCTACTTGGTCTCCGTGTTGACCCACGTGCCAGTCGTTTGAGAACCGAACTGTGGGGGTACTGTACGTCAGGTGAAGAGGTTTCTCAACGTTGAGACTGATCCAGCAGCCGCGTTGCGTCCGTCTTCAACCCAACGTTGTTTTTGGCCTCGTTTTTCACTCGTACGTGGTATATTGTACTGATGTTTTTGTGTTTCTCGGGCGACGTGGAGTGACCTCTATTGTTGACCGTGTCCCGCCTATGTTCAATTGGTCAATCTATCTGCTCAAACGCACACGCACGCACGGCGCGCACGCAGGCAACAAGCAGCACACATTTATTGAGACGGAGACGGTTCGGTACGTGTACCAGCCGATCGAGAACCTCTTCCTGCTGCTCGTGACCAACAAGGCTAGCAACATCGTGGAGGACCTCGAGACCCTGCGGATGCTCTCCAAAGGCGAGTGTAGACCCCTGCCGAAGCACTCCGACACACCGCATCATGATAGCATTTCTCTCTTTGTTGCCTGCACTCCGTTGTTTCATTGGCATCACAGACGACTCCCTGCGCGATTTTTTCATCTCGGTTAGTTTACCTCAACGATAGCAGAGGTTCGGACACTTGCACGAGGGCTCTGCCACCGATCTTCGGAGTGCAGATGACGATGTTGGAAAGTCAAGCACTCCTGCGCTTGCTGCCATTTTTCGGTGTCCAGACGACGAAGTTGGAAGGTCAAGCACTCTGCGGTCGCTACCGTTTTTTGGGGGAGTATACGACAAAGTCGGAAAGTAGAGAACTCTGCGAACGATTCGGGTGTAGTCTTGAGTCCAAACAGGCTGGTACGGGTGTGTGCCAGGGTACCCGGCGGTGTGCTTGGACGGCTGCCGCGCGTGCGGAGCGGTTGCGCCTTGATCGGCGCCCCGAACACACGCGACAGCTTTCTCGTCGCATTCGCGCGCGGCCGTGCCCATCCAGCCCAGCAGCCGGCCATTCACGTCTAAATTCCGTCCGTCTAGATGGTACGCCTTGGGCTGCTGTAGCCTACCCCTACAGCATTCTCCGTTATTTGTCACTCGCATGTGGTCAAGCGTTGTACGCACCGGCGTTGACGCGATCTGCCTGCGGTCTCTTTTGCCGTGTTTGTTGCGTCCGCGCTGTTCCTATTCGGTGGGGGTTCCGTGGAACAGTGGTGCCGGACGTGGCAGGGGGGGTCACGGAGGACAAGGTGATGAGCAAGTCTTTCGAGCTGGTGTTCGCCTTTGACGAGGTCATCACTACGGGGGGGCACAAGGAGAACATCACTCTCCAACAGGTAGCCACCTCCGCGGACGTAATGAAAGATATTTTGATGCCTTCGTCGTATGGATGTTCGTTAAAAATGGGGGGGGGGGGCGGGGGGCGGGTAGCACGATTGCCGGAGAAAGCGTTACGACGGTGGCGACCGCGGTTGTGAGCAGCGCGTGAGATAACCCTTGGGATAGCCATGGGCGAGGAGGTAGATCCCTGTACCAGGGACAGCTCTCAAGTTGTAAGACCAGGCATGGGATTGGACCGTACACAATGTTGCAAATGCCTCCATGTTAAGGGCATCGCCGAGGCAAGGAAGTGGATTGGACAAGCACGTGTGGCCTACGGGGCGGAGGATTTTGTTTGGGGTTGGTGCTTCTTGTCATCCATGGCCGTGTTCTATGCCAATGATAGACCTTGGCACCATCCCTGTGAAGCTGGAGTCGATCATTCCGAAGTTTTGCGGAGCAGGAGGGCAGATGGTGTGACCCTGGATTCTTCGGCACTCTACCAAGTGCGGTCTGTGTTATTGAGCTTTTGTGCCTCACCTGCACGGAGGCGCCCCGAAAATCATACACTTGTATATTTGTTTCGTCTCCTCCCCCGCGCTGTTTGGGTCCACAGCCCTCTCGTTTTTTGCGAGAATATTCGTGCCCGTTCGGTGCTTGGCTTGCCTCCCGTCGTTGTTGCTGTTGTTGTTCCGGATCCGTGGGTGGGCGTCCGTCTTTGGTAGAGATCGATTTGACAAAATATATACTCGGAGATATGTATCACCTACAGGGTGTTTGCCTCTAAGCGACACGAGAATAACGTCCAGCGTACGACTGCGTGCTTGTGTCAATTACTATGTGGGTCGTGATGATGATGATGATGATGACAGATTAAGACGAACATGGAGATGGATTCGCACGAAGAGCGTCTTCACACGATGATCCAGGACAGCAAGAGGGAGGCCGCAAAAGAGGAGGCCGGCCGGAGAGCCAAGGAGCTACGGGAAAAGGCGAAGGAAGCGGTGAGTCCGGCCACAGCTATTACACCAATGCAAT